ACTCGTCACTTTCAGCAGCAACCATTGCCTTCTTTTTCTTCTCGTTCCTTTCTCTTTCTCCGTACTTCTCCACTTTTGGGTACGGGCACGCTGACTTCCAGTGGCCGGGCTTCCTGCAATTGTAACACAAATAAGATTCAGGAGGAGAGTCACTTACCTGTGGCTTTCCCTTGGATGGCCTTCTGACTGAGTCAGCTTTTTTGAAGAACTTTTTGAACTTCCGGAATTGCTTGACCATCATGGCAAATTCCTCATCGTAGTTCTCCATTTTTGAACTTGACGGCTGGCTGGAGGAGGGTGTGTCACAGTTCCTTGGACATGTCCCTTCACTTGATGGGACTCTTGGAGTTGTCATCAGTGCCGTGGGGAAGGGAGTGACTTGTTCTTCCTTCTTCTTCTTCAGCTCGTGCTCATAGGTTCTGAGCTCATCAAGAAGACCTTGAACAATGTAGTTCTCCAGATTTCTTCCTTCTTCCATGGCTGTGGCTTTGGTGTACCACTCAGTTGGAAGAGATCTCAGCAACCTTACATTCTTTTCTTTGGGAGAAAGAACGTGGTTAAGTGATGCAAGATCATTCAAGATTTTGTGGAATCTTTCATCCAGCATATCAAATGATTCTCCAGGAAGCATTTTGAAGCTTTTGAACTTCTCAAGCAGGACTTCTATCTTCTGCTTTCTCAAGTCCTCTGAACCCTCACATAGCTTCCCAAGACCTTACCATATCTCCATGGCAGTCTTGAGGTGCTTAATTTTGGAGAAGGTGATGGGGTCAAGTGTCTTGAAGATGGCTGCTTTGGCGACGTTATCCAGATTGTGCTTTTTGCAATCTCTATCATCCCATTTTTCCTTGGGCTTTGGAATGTACTGGACTACGTCTGGAGTTGCTGGATTTCTCTCAGGATTCTCCATTTGAATTTTCAAGGGTCCATCCTCAAGCACCATCCACATGCAATCATGTAGAGCGTAAAGGTGTGCTTCCATCATGATCTTCCAATCATCATAACCTAGAAGAGAAAACTTGGGCAAACCGTGATCCATATTGTTCACCATTTTAATCGCTTCTCGTTAATCTAAATGTAGATAGTGAGAAGACTGCTCTGATACCAATTGGTGGTCCCAAAGTGGTGAAATACAAAGTCTAGAGGGGGGGTGAATAGACTTTGTTACAAGTTTAAAATCTTTTTCGTTTCTTTTGAAAATGAGAAAATGAGTGTTAATCTAGAGTCCTTGTGAACTTTAGATTGTGTGCGGAATTTGGTGGGTGGAGTGAGCAGTAATTAATATGGATAGGTTAGTTT